CGGAGAATTCCCACAGAGATCCCCGCTAATTGGACAAGTTGACATCCCTAGTTAATAACAAGTGCAATTTCCATTCACTCTTGTAAAATTATACCTCTTTAATTTCACTGAATTAAGGATTAAAGTGTTAATCTTACAAATACCACCACTACACCTTACTAGAGACATGCATCAGCGTATCGAAGAGCTTCGTATCAGCATGTCATCAATTTAGTAAAATTTATAAAATTTATAAAACGTTAAATGTTATTTTTTTTAAAGAATGTGAATTTGTCATAAGTTAAGCCAAAATCAAAATTAATTCGGACTAAACTCTAAATAATAGAAATCTTTCTTAAAAAATAAGATGATTAAGATAATCTTTCACCACTAATATAGTTTGGTTCGAGAATCAATTTTGAAATCAAATAGTTTCAACCTCCTCTCAATTACAATAGCAGGAAATCGAACCATAATTATTCACATCTCAATCTCAAAATTGCTAGTGATGACATAAAGGTGATTAATCAAACTCATTAATGTGAATTTATGTGAGCGCCTTAAAATTCTTCCTATAATTCCAATATTTGTGGCTAATACTTATTCCACCATATTGAAATTAATATAGAGAAGTGCAATTTTTTGTTTTTATTTGTCAACAACTAATTATCCAACTTCCGGTCAAAACACACATTCCTAATTCTTAACTACCAGCAAATTCATCTAGCTACCAATAATGCAAATTACTTCTCCTAGTTATGTGTGGAGATTTGATAACACCCTCACAAATTTCTACGTTTCAATTTTTTTAAAATTAATTTGTCCACTTATTTGTAGACATTATTTGTTGATGTAGATGACCAATCACAATTGACCTTACACTGAAAATTAACATCAAATAAACTTTTTTTTTTAAAGTATAAATAAATATCATTTGCGAGTAATTGTAAAGGTTAATTTTTTGAATTGAAAAGAAACACAATAAACAATAAAAAAAATTTCAAGAAACTTAACAAGATGAGTTAACCTAAAATTTCTAACTAATTAGGTTGAAAAAGATCTCTTACCTTATATCATCTAAGTATTTTTGGATCAAATATTTTTATTTATTAAAACTTAATTAATAATTTTTTAATCGATTCATTTATTAATTGAGGCTTTAATATAAAAGTAATCTAATTAAGGACTAATTTTTCCCATCTAATACACACATACACTATTCACTATATCTATGGACTATTGTTCCATTACACATCTCATCACCTAATTATCTCTTTTGTTGACAAAATTCTCATATATTAAGTATTAATAACGTGAATCATTGTGATAAAAAAAAAAAACTTGAATCATTAACTTGCATGATAATCTTTTCTTAATCCTTCATTATTTTAAATGTAATCACTTCAATGGATGACATTTAAAACGTGGCATTCTAATTGTCACATCTTAACTAACAACCATATAAATTAAAGAACGAAATAAAGTTGATCTATATGATTAAAAAAGCAATATCTTTTTTCAGAAAAAAAAAGGAAAAAAATCTTTCTATAAATAAATTGGATCGACATAGATATAAAAAAGTGAGACATAGGCCTACGTTCACAGCATAGTGAGATATCTTGTTGGAAAAAACCAGTCACAGAGAGTAATGGTGTCTCCAAAAAATATAGGAAAATATAGACTAGGCAGAACCATAGGAGAAGGTACATTCTCTAAGGTTAAGCTTGCTTTCATTGGAAACAATGGCGAGAAAGTAGCAATCAAGGTCATTGACAAGAATATGGTCTTGAAAAACAATCTTAAGTATAAGGTAAACCTTATTTTGGTCCATTTTTTTTCATTCTTTAGCAAAAAGGTGTTTTTTTTTTCCACATAAGTTAATCAATATTAAGAATACAATATATTTCAGGTACAAAGTGAGATTAGAACAATGAAACTTCTACATCATCCTAATATTGTTAGAATTCACGAGGTATATCTTTTAACGTTGTGTTTCTCGTGTTTGTGCCTCAGCTGCTTCATATTTCAGACATGAAATTCATAGTCCCTTTTCTATGTACAACTTGTATTTCTTTTAATGAATTTCATCATCAAACAGGTTATTGGTACAAAGACAAAAATATACATTGTGATGGAGTATGTATCCGGAGGTCAACTGTTGGACAAGATGGTGAGAATCAGCAATGTTATATACTTACAATTACAATTATGGTGCTTCAGTTCTGATGATTTTGTTTATGCAGTCTTATGTTGGTAAGTTGAATGAATGTGAGGCAAGAAAATTGTTCCAACAACTTGTTGATGCCGTCGATTACTGCCATAATAAGGGCGTTTTTCATCGAGATTTAAAGGTGAGTTAAAGAAATTTCTGTAATTTTTTGTTTAGAAATAGGATGTGAAACCTTAGTTGAACCTTTATGTATGACAATACAGCCAGAAAACTTGCTCCTTGACAGCCAGGGAAATCTCAAAGTGTCTGATTTTGGATTAAGTGCATTGAGTAAGGTAAAAAACTTTTTTAACCTCGTTATTAGTTCGGAAGTTGTAAGTTTTTTTTTAATCGATGATCAAATTTTGATATATTGGCAGCCTAATGATGTCTTAAACACAAGGTGTGGATCGCCGTGCTATGTGGCTCCTGAGGTAAGATTGAGAATGAGAAAGTGTTGGTGAATCCGAGAGAGCACCTGAGAGGAAAAATGTGTTAAAAGAGAGCTAGTGACCACTTTTATCAGATACATATATCATTGATTCTAATACTCTTATATACTTTCTCATGTGTAGCTGCTGATGAGCAAAGGGTATGATGGAGCAGCTGCTGATGTTTGGTCATGTGGTGTGATTCTTTTTGAGTTACTTGCTGGTTTTCTACCATTTGATGACCAAAACTTGATGAGGTTATACCATAAGGTATATATATTAGCAAATACGGTAATAAAGAAAAAGCAGGATTCAACTAATTCACATATTTTGATATTTTCATGTGCGAAAATATAGATATGCAGAGCAGAATATGTATGCGCTCCATGGTTTACTCAAAGTCAAAAGAAATTAATCACCAAAATACTCGAACCGCGTCCTGATAAGGTAGAAACTCAAGAACTAGTGCACTGAGCTTAGACTCAAAGTGTAACTGATAGATAGTAATTTGTTTGACTTCCTCCTGATCTCTTGCAGCGGATAAATATTTCAGATATTATTGAAAATGACTGGTTTCAAATAGATTACAAACCTTCTTGTGCATATGAAATTGATCGGATTATTAACTTGGATGACAAAAGTGATGCTTTTGACCCAATTGAGGTAATATGTTAGCTAATAGCAAACATGGAAAAACAAAATGGGAGTTATGGACCAAACTTTCTAACAATATGTTGTATAGGAGAAAACTACGAAGTCAACGATAACCAAGTCCTCGAGCTTCATTAATGCGTTCCAACTGATAGCCATGTTTCAAGACCTTGATCTATCTGCAATTTTTGAAGAACAGGCAAGTCTACAAATCTTGAAGGGTATTTAACTTATCTATAAAGTAATTTATTAAAAATTCTAATGTTATGAGTTTCGTGTTTAGGATCACAAGAAGCAGATAAAAATGTTTGGATCCCAACATACAATCAGTGAAACAGTAGAAAAAATAGAAGCTGCTGCAACAGATGTGAGACTGTCAGTGATGAAAATGAACAAATTTAAGGTCTGAATAATGCTTAGAATTTGATTCTTAAGTGCATCAATGTAAATTTTTTTTGGAGGGAATTATGAAATATTAACCTTTTTTAGAGTCTCGCAACAAATGAACTTTGACTCTTAATATCAGATGAAAATGCACCCAAAACCTACATTGACTAGAAGTTCTAGATCATACTTTGACCTATCTGCTGAGGTAATATTACTCATTTTATCATCACATACACCGTTTTTTCCTTTTCGTTTTCGCTTTCTTTATTAGTAACACAAGTTCATTTCTTTACTGATATGTTTGAAACATGTCAGGTGATAGAAGTTGCTCCAGCTCATTGTGTTGTACAAATATCAAAATCGGCAGGAGATCTAAGAATGTACAATGAAGTAAGAAAACATATTATGCTAGCTTAATATTCGCAAGCTCATTAATCTGGTTACTGATTTAACTTTGATTATCAGTTTTGTGAAAGTTTGTCAAGTCTGCTGAAAGAAAAATCTAGTACGCCATCACATGACCAAGACTCCGTGGATCAACGCAAAGTTAGCAGCATAGAAAAGAAAGATGATGAATGGTATAATAAACCTATTTTACATTACTAAATGTTGATGGTATTGGTTTGATAGCCACCGTTTTCTTATTAGTGGTTTTCATTTGTCTATTTCAGCTATGCAAAGCCAAACTGTGAAGATTTTTGTGGCTATAACTCTGCTTGAAGGTTGATTCAAACCATGTCTCTGTTATTTTATTGAAGTTTATTGGAATATGACCTGGCAAGGAGAGAACAAAATATTTTTTCAAAGCTTGTTTTTTTATCTCGAGTATCTCTTATTTTCTATCTTGAGAGAACCAATTTTCTTGTTAATTCATTATTTTCTTCATTGTAAAATAACGAGAAACATAATTTTTGTGATAATTGAAATTTTCGTTGATTTAATAGGCAAAAAATGCTGTAAAAACATAGGGACGAATCCAGAAGCAAAGAATGATATTAGTGAAAAATATAGAAATCACAAACATCAACTGCAAAATCATGTCAACTTCAAAGCATCAAAGCATTACTGTAATGTTAAATTCAGCTAACAGTAGTGTAAAATGTATAAACACCTTTTCGATATAAAACTCCCAATCAGGTTAATATATGAACAAGTTACTAGGAGGAATGAGCACTAATGTAAATGAAGCTGCACACCAATGAAGTAATCAGCTTTCAAAGCTGACGCATAACAAAAATCATATGTTGGAAATTTGCAATACTAGATATTCAGGGTAGAAGAAGAGTACCATTGCTCACAACATTGGGGTTTGTTGACACTGAACTCAACAATAATTCTAGAGACTAGATAAGGAAGTTATCTATCATGTGGAAGATCACATCGGAACCATCTGAATGCAACCAATAGATTTTCACCTAAGAGTAAAAACAGACAAATAAAAATATCAAAAAGCATCTAGCTGAAGCTGTGGCCAATATTTTTAACAGTTTAGCTTAAAATAAGTACATCATCTTCAAATAATATCTTGTATGACACTTGTTTTTGAAGCAAACCCCCGTCATCTAGAGCTGGAGTTCTAAAGTAGTTGAAATAAAGATAAAAACTTTACCTGGATTGTACTGTGAGCAACATACCGTTGTTTACTCTTCCGAAAGCTAACATCCACACGCTCCCAAGGAACCTGAGTTAGACCCCTTATCATCTCCTCTACAAAAAGCATATGTATTTAGTTTTTGAAAGCTAGTTACAATAGACTCAAAAGCATTTTGAAAATGAAATCATTTCAAATTTCTTCAACAAAATAATATCTTAGACTAGGATAAATTACAACATAAAATTGTACGCTAGGATGACTTTTTAGATTCAAACATACAATAATATTCCGAGTAGAGAGCTAGTTGTCGATATGAATTAGGTTTACGTTTAAGTTTTAATACACATCGCACTAGTTTTATCTGGTTTACACAATTTTACTCACAAACTGCTAAGTGGCTACATATCAAAATTTGGTAAGGGAAGTCAATTTCAGATCCTGTGAGTTGGAAGCTTGTGAGAGTATCACCAATTTACCGGATATAATAAAACAAATAAGTCAAATCGAGAATTTACGAGCTGGTTAGTGGCAAGAATTATTTCATCATGCAGAAACCCAAAATTGCAAGAATCATTTCATCATACAGTCAAAAAGAGGAAAGGAGATTGTACTATACTTCATTTTTTCCTTATCCTCTCTGAATGTTCTTGAACTAGACACTACTAATAATCCTACCAAAAAATGCACGACAATCATCGAAATAAAAAAAATAAAAAAACCTGAGAGGAAAATTCCTCGTCCTAACTATACTATTTCACCATACTCCTTTCACAAACACCAAAAGAGACTACATTTTTTCTTCTTCAGGAAAGTCAAACAAACCTTCTGTGTCAATTGTTTGGTCTCCAACATTAGTAGAAACTTTGGTGGAAACGTCATCAACAGTCCCAACTTTGGCGTGTACAATGTGCGGGTATTTCTCATCAATTAATTGAAGATCAAACTAGCACGGAAAAAGAATGTAAATTTAGTCTCTGTAATCCATGTAAAACATTAAAATTGAGAATCATCAGAAAGTATATTACTGTTGGAAGTTCATGCTGACGCCGAATTGATGAGGTGCGCCATCCAACCATATCTTCGATAAAGGTCAAGAAATTTGGAAGATATAATAAGTGTTTCTCTATCTTAAAGTTAGATCCACATCATTGTCACAATATATGGTTTCAAGAAAAAAATTACCCCATGTGGCTTAGAAGCATGGACATGAAGGCAGTGGCAAAGCTCAAGTAATTTTGTTGGGGGTGCCAAAGAGCCATATATATATATATATATATATATATATATATATATATATATATATATATATATATATATATATATATATATATATATATATATATATATATATATATATATATATATATATATATATATATATATATATATATATATATATATATATATATATGGTTTCAAGAAACTTGCAAAACCTTTCACCCTCACCTCCCACTGTGGTGCTTAACAATCATAGTCATTCTACGAAATGAAACACAAATATACATTCGTTACTATTATAATGTGTATATCTATCGTATTGAGAAGAAAATTTTGGGGTGGCCATCCCCAAGAAGACCCGCCTCTTCCTGCAGGGCTGTAAATAAATTCTGATTTATATTATAATAAACCCTAGTTAAATTAATTTCAATATCTTGTCTTTGTCCAAGTTCCTCTTCTTAATACACATGAAAGTTGCATGTGCTAACGTTTGACATGGGCTGTTGACACTATATCATCCATTTGGCTTAAGCTTCTGAACAATTTGAAGTTTGATAAACAAAAAGAAATATAACTTGGAAAGAGGATACGATCAAAGTTTGTATTTGCATATGCTACTCGGCGCTTGAATGCACGTAAAGCTGACCTGCACAGTCATTAACAATTAAATTGAAGTAATGGAGAATTGAATGGTGGCATGATCTAACAAACTTAAAGACTTGGTAATACTAACATAAATTTTAAGTCATCAGAATCCTCAATCATTCGGAGGAGAAGAGGAGGCTTTCCATCATCGTTGTCCATAAGAAAGAGATGCTTTCCAGTTCTCCCTACAACTAAGTGTGCAGTTTGAGATGCTCTTCTTTCAAGGAAAGAAAGGCCACAAAGAAATGGAAGCTTCAAGAACCGAAAGAATAAGGAGCAAAAATAAGAGACCAGTATGCACACGCTTAAAATCCTTGCTCCAACACATATAAAATCATAATATACCTAGGAAATCTATCCCAACATAATAAATATTTGGGCTACTAATTGAGTTTGCTTTGATATTTTGCATTAAACTTTTCAGCATGTCTTCAAATATTTTGATGGAATTCAGCGAAAGATTTTAGCTAACAGCCTTCAAAAGCTAAAAGATTTTAACTCAAGTTGGACTGTGATAGACAAATTAACCAACCAAAACGTGAAAATGTTAGGCAGAAGAAAAAAAAAAAGCAAAGATGATTTTAATGGAGATCAGCGGCAAAAAATAACAGCAATAAGAACAAATAGCAGATGACTAATGAAAGTCAAAAGAAAATTAGGTATATGATATATCCATGATGCTGAAGCTTTGATACAACACTGCTCACTGAGAACTTAAAGCTACCTGTCTATGTCCTCTTGAACCAAGATGAGGAGTTGCAAAGGTTATAAAGTTCATTGGTTCTAAACCAGCAATCCGGGCTTCATAGTTCTGTTCAATGCAATTCTTTGTGCATTCTGTCTCCGCTTTGCAGTTGCAAATTCTTCCAGTAACTTCAGCTTCTAATGTTGAAGAGTATTCAAAAAGTCTTGCAATAGCATATCTTGCCACTAAGCCTCCCAAAGAATGTGCAACAAAGGAGATCTTCTGCAACCCTGGCCAGCGACTAACAACAGATAGTACCTAGATAAACATCAATTAAATTTAAAACTGGAGATTCAATCATTCCAATGTGAATGAATAATCACAAGGTCTACAACATTAATCATTTCCTACAGTAATTTAAAGTTCCGGGAAGTACGAGAGACTATACGGGTCGAATTGCTACTGCCAAAATACCTCTTCAGCTAGTCTCTCACCCATTGTATCAACACCATCAAACGTCAATTTTGAAGAATTGCATTCACTGCCTGTTCACAATATGTCATGTAAATCACAGTTGATTATGTTCATTTATAAATCACAAGACAGTCTACAATTAATGACGGAGCTGTGCACTCATGCCATACAATTTAGCTCCAACACCTACTAAATAATTTACACTCTTATTCTTAAAATCCTCTTATTAGGTCTAACAAAGAAATAGGTTTAACTATACACTTATTACGACCAAAAGTAACTTTTAATCCCTATTTATATAACACATTTTTTATCTTTTGTTTACTTTCTTGTGTATGTTTTTGAGCTGCAGTGAAGTGACAAAACTATTCAATCTTCGCTGGACCACTGAGCTCCTCCAACACTTCATCATCTGTCTTCCTCTCAGCCCCAAGATCTCATGGTAGTTGAGCATGAGAAGCTCAACTCGGCAAAGGCAACACAGTTCCACTTTGAAATCCTAGACTCTGTCGTGTCATCTAATCATTATCGATAGTGCAACATTATAAAAAATGGCAGAAGACCGTAATAAACATGAGGATTAATAGTTAATTTCAATCATAATAAGGACACTAAAAATACATTTAAATGAAATATTTGAATTACATATAAAGTGTTATCTACATAAAGAAAAAGAGTTTTAGAGTGTGTTTGGTTTGCAGTGAAGAAAATTGATTTTGAGTGAATTAATTATGTAAAACTGATTCTGGATAAAAGTGAATTGAAAGTAAAATCATTTATGTTTGAATAAATTGCTACAAGAACGATTTTAAGAGTAAATTTTCAATATAAAAATCATATTTAGACTCAAAAGCTACAAATTCTATAGTATGTTTGGATGTGTGTTTGCTTGTCCATTTTCGCGTTGCAATGCATTTCTACCTTGAAAATATAGAAGCTAACAATTGTAGAGTTGGCCAGACACACGTTTTCACCATGAAAAGGCAAGTTTCCAAACATGCTACTAGTTTCAAGTAGAATCAATTATGGAAAGCATAATCAATTATACTTGATTTGAAAGCAACTAATCATATTAAAGTCAATTCTACACGTTAAGAATCAATTCTAGATGCTTCAAACCACACATACACTTAGTGCATGTTTGGTTCTGCCTTAAAAAAATTGATTTTGAATGAATTGATTTTGTAAAATTGATTATGGTTAAAAGTGAATTGAATGTAAAGTGATTTATATTTGGATAACTTTATGCAAATGAGTTGAAGAGTAACTTTAATGTAAAAATCACTTTTAAAATTTTTTTGACGCAAAATCACTTTTAAAATTAAAACCTACAAATTATAACTTCACCTGCAATCAATTATTGAGACAAAATCAATTCACTCTAAAAGAATCAAACACATCAAATCATTCCAAAATCAATTCTACACCTCTAGAATTGATTTTGACTCCTCCAAAAGTTAAAAGAAACATACAGTTAGTGCTTAAGTAATGAAAGGAAGATGGAAGAGTTAGTTACGGTGGACGATAACTTTATCCGGAAGCTTCTCGAGAAACCGCTCCGCCGCAAACCTCCAATCAGCAGAACTGAAAAACACCAATCACATTTCAACACTATTCAAACTTCGAATTCACAATCCAAAAACATAATCAAAATGAAACCGAAGATCACTACTACCTTCCAACGATGCCATTAACCATAACAACAAGGTGCGGAGGAACCTCAAGAGGCTCACCATCAACCTCAATCTCCGCCTTCGAATTCGGTTTCGGATTCTTGAAACAAGTGATTCCGATTCCTAATCGGCGATGAAATTTCATCTTGATGATCCAAAAACCGACGAAAAGTGATCCGAATAACGGTAGCGTTAGGTTGAATTTGAAGTGAACGAACGCGATGGTGATTGCGAAGCACAAAGCGTAAAGTAGAAACGAATTCATTCGTTCGGTTATTATCGTTTCTTCTTTCTACTCACCAACTCAGATTTCTTTTGTCTGTAGTATATCAATATTATTATGCTTTTGAAATAAATGAATAATAAACTACTACTTGTTTTTAAAGCTACCATGCACATATTGGGGAAAAGGAAAGAAAGATGCTTCCAAGAGATGTAGTTTTCATGTCTCTCTTGGAATCATGCTTTTGAATACTTAAATCTACCGGAAATAATTTTTTTGGGAAATTTTTATCAATATATCACTCTTTTAATAATAAATTCACATATTTCCGTATATTTCAACTCATATTTTCAATATATCATCTTTTTAAATAAAAATAAATAAAAATAGGAGGTTTTGCCTATTGGATTGGCGAATGGTCTTTAATTTACACAGTTTTTGTCCATTGGATTGGCGGAGCCGTTTATATGTCGTTTTTTTTTATATAACATTAGAACTCTTCCGTTCGTCCAATGTGTGGGTTCTCTACAAATTTCAACGTTTCCGCCCAATACTTTTGCTGATGGTAAAAATTTACAACACTTCCGCCCATTCACTTGGCGGATGTTTTGTGACAAAAATAAAATTTGTTTGAAAAGATGGTAGATTGGGATTATTGAGTGAAAAGGATGGTATATTGGGATTTACCGTGCATAAAGATGGCAAGGCAGTAAAAAATCTTTTTTACACATGAGGGCTTGGATATCATCACAATAGTTCTGCTTTTGAAAACTTTAATCTAATGTTACATATTTTTTTTTGAGAATTTCTTTTTCTACCTTGGTGTCTTCTTGTATGTCTTTGTCGAAAAATTCAAAATAATTTTAATTTTGGATGTACATATCCGAACGTACTACGAATTATTTTTTATTAAATTTATTTCGCATATACATATAGAAAACCACCTGATTGTCTCTTTCGGATATGCATATTCAAATTTATGTTTGGGACAGAAGAATCGACATAATTCATAACATAGATTCAACATAATTTATCGAAATTACATAAATAGTTCTACAGAAAATTAAAATTACATATTGTTATAAACGAGTAGTTGAGGACGTTGCAACATCTTGATAACATCTTCTCCCGATCTTTGAAGTTTCACATCCACCTCAATCAGATCCTTAGAAAAGTATCATTGAAAAGTATCCCACATAACCTCTAAATCGTCATCGTTTTTGAGCTCAAACGGGATGAATTTTATGTTTCCTTCAGTGTCAAGTGAAGGTGAATGATACTCAAACTTGACCACCTTTCGATTCTCTTGATATTGCAAGAGGAAATTCAGAATGGTAATGTTAGAGTGCTAAAGCTAGAACCCTAACAAGATTAGAGAAAGCTAGAAAATAAAAGACAATAAAAGATAACTAAGAAAAATAAATTTCATTTAATTTGATTGATATCTTAAAATGTGTCAAAGACACTAACTACATATATAATGATACTAATAGGTCATTAATTAAAATGCTCAAATACAAATAAAGCTCAATAACCATATTAATAATATAAGTTCTATTATTATCCCTATCAATAACAATATTAATAATTAATAATATAAATTCTATAATACCCTTCTATCATTGCCGTCAGATTCACTTAAACCTTGTCCTCGAAGTTCTAGAATACTCATTACTAGCTTTTACCAAAAATGTCTATGTTCCTAAACCAAAAAAAAAAAAAACCGCAAACTTCAAAATCTTTGTTGACATTTGCCTTGTATACTTAAGCAAAACCACCTTGTCTAACCCTTGATGTGGTATTTGATCCCACCTATCTCAATAACTTTATTCCTTAATGCATTCTTCAAAATGGATAAGGTCACTTTTCCTGATACAACACCAATAGTAGATGAGAGCACATACAACAACATGCCACCAAGAAAAAGATACATTGATCCAAATGCAAAAGAACTAGCAGCAATGATTTGTAGACTCATAGTTATTGTCATGCCTAAAAAGCTACCTAGTATAAGCACTTTCCTTCCAAGTTTATCTATTAGAATTATTGAGACTATTAATCCAAATAAATTATATGTTACAACATAATTATTTCTCATCTTAGGTGGTACACTAAAGCTTTCAAAGACAGCTGAAGAGAAATAGAAAACAACATTTAAGTCAGACTGTTACTGCAAAAAAAACGCTGATCCCATGAACATCATTTTGGCATGGCAGCCAAAGAGTTTTGTTGCACAACAATATTGAACCAATCTTGAATAATAAAACACACACATAACAGGGGTAATCTCGTTCACTTTATGCCCTGTCTGTAACTGATCTTCGCATATCAACATCTTATCACTGGACCCAGTCAAAAAGGTCCCTGAATTATTAATGTGCTCAATTGTTGCAGATATCCCTTTGGTCTTGGTACCACCTCATTCTTCACAAAAGCATCTCCAATCATTCTCTGGTATGATAGTTAAGCCTCTTGCAGAAGATTCTTTCTGAATTATGGCACCGCACCGCGTCTGAAAGCCAGTTGAGGAGTTCTTTCAACAAGTGGAGAGTGTTTTTCACACATCATTGAATCAATTACCCCATCTAAAGTTTCAGGTATATCTGGATTCTTGAATGATAGACTGATGTTATTTCTCCATTTTAAAGTCCATGAAGAAGACAGCAAGAAATATTTGCAATCCGCATGGAGAGGCATACTTTTAGCATGGAATATATTCTCATGATTCTGGAGCTGCTTTTGTTTAACTGATCTTAAAGAATCCTCTAAGCATGTTGCTTCAGATATTTCATTCATGATTCATTCATTGGGAACACTCTATAAAAACTGCGCCCAATGTTTTTGACATAATAACTAGGAATGTTTTACACGAAAGCATCTCTTTTGCTTTCTCACTTCCTTCACTCTCGACGCGATTACATATTCGACAAAAGACCTTAACATTTGATTGACCCAGTTCTTCTCCATTAAGATTTCCTGATGTATCCAGCACATCACCAGACTCAAACTTCCTTGCATACTTCTTCACCGCAATCATCACAGACGCAGACTCATCAACCACATCACCGCCAACAGGAACAACCTCAGGAGCCGGCGGTACAACCTTGGGAAAACCATTTGCAATGAAATCACCGAGCACAAAAATGTCGTTGAGAAAACCATTCGCAACATGGTTGTTGATGCTGCTGTTGGTGATGGTTTCATTGAGAGAACACAGAAATCCTAGCGGACAGAAACAAATTCTTCAACAACGGTTGGTGGTGGTGAAGTGAAACAACGCTTCAAATCGGAATCTGACTCCCCCAAAAACAGTGGTTGTTGGGTTTCATACAAATTGAGCTGCTCCAGTTGTGTTCTATGAAAATATGATGATTCTTATATGTCATGTTCAACAGGTTCAGAAATTGGATCTATGGACTCTACTAATTTATAAGTTGGTTCCATTTCCTCATCTAAATCTTGAAAAAGGTGTCTCCATTCAGGTTTAAAATGTCAAAGAAATACATCTGCAAATGTATTTCAGGACATCGATGGATGAGATTGAGAGTGCCATTTCCACCATTTGAGAGCACGACCACTCATTACGATTTCAACCACCTTCATCTTTTCCTCATCTTCTACGATATTTTTGGCTCTGAAATATTTTTCAGTGGAAAGGATCCACCAATATGCTTCTTCCACTCCATAAAATTCATAAATGGCATCAAAAACTCCATTTAGCGGGAATGAGATCAAAATGAGAGCACCAATTGTTAGAGCGCTAAAGCTAAAACCCTAACAAGATTAGAGAAAGCTAGAAAATAAAAGACAATAAAAGATAACTAAGAAAAATGAACTTCATTTCATTTGATTGATACTCTAAAATGTGTGAAAGACACTACATATATAATGATACTAATGGGTCATTAATTAAAATGCTCAAATACAAATAAAGTCCAATAACCATATTAATAATATAAGTTCTATTATTACCCTATCAATAACAATACTAATAATTAATAATATAAATTCTATAATACCCTTCTATCAGGTAATGAGCACGGTGAACGTCGTGTCATGCGAGAACCTGAAATGAAGTGGCAATTTCGCATCCACTGAAGTATGTTTCTAGGTACAACTTTGATTAACGACAATTATGAAATTGATTCCTTCTCTTCCGACTTAAGTCGACATATAATTGGATGCCCTTGTAGTTTGGTTTCTGTGATACGGTGGGAGAACTGACTTGAGGGTTTTGCATTAATTTATTTTTATGTAAAAGAAATTTTAATCTAAACCTAAAATTATAAGGAAAAGAAATTAATTTTTTAGAAGGGGGATTTTAACCCTAATTTCTATTTTAAAAGAAAATGAAGTTCATATGTATTATTTATGTATTTTTTATATTAAAATAATAAATAATATTGTATATAAAAATATAAAGTTTTTATATATGCAAAAATGAATATTTATAAGTATGGGATAAATAAATTAAGCTAAATATATTTTAATTATATTTCACAAGTTTATTGAGAAAATACATGATATATATTAAAAATATATATTTTTTTTTATGTACAAAATAAACTAAAACAAAATAAAAATGCAATATTATTAATTTTATATTTTTTAGGATTTTTTATGCATAAAAGAAAATATTAATGAAAATAAAAATACATTAAATAAAAATATAAAAAGAGTTGGCAAAGGGGGGTGCTGTAGAAAACTGGCAGCAATGTGTTAGTAAAAAAAACTAGGCCCAAAAGACTAAGCCCAATCCTGCAAAAAAAAGTAAAATGGAAAGAAGAAATGTGAAAAACATAAAAGTAGCGCCCAGGTTCGAACCCAGGACATGGGTCTCACCAGCGCGCTACTTTGCCACTGGGGTGGCTATACATCCATTGTTTTAAGTGAAACGAAAATAACATAACATGAACAAAGTCCTTGCCCTGTACTTCATCTTCTTCCCCAAGCTTGGCCAGACGTCCTATAACTCTCTCATTCTTCCATGAAAATGAAAACTCATAACATGAAAGTTGTGGTATTTGATCTCACGATTCTAACCATATAAGTTGTGTAAGCTAACAACCAAAGCTTAGAGAGAATTTTGAAAGCCCTAAATTTAAACCTAAATTTTTCAGAAACTTCAAGTTCTAAATTCTCTCAACCCAGGCCAAATAAATGTAAGATAAAGATATGTACAGTTTCGTTGCAATGAGGGCTACATTATTTATTCACAAATTGTGGCCAATGGTTGCCTGTACAAGGAGATAGAAGTTGAGATTTTACCTCCTTCAGTTGAAATCGTGGATAGAACTGGAGTGAGTTTGATGGATGCCTGATGCTTGCTTGAGCTTCCTTGAACTTCCCTGAATGTATTCCCACCCTTGCCTTGCTCTGAAAGTGCTTGAAACTCCTTGGCCAAGTCAACCTGCAAGCTTTGAAAACAAAAATGGCAGATGATGGAGAAGGGGTTACAGTACAGGGATGAAGGTCTGGATTGGTTAGATATCAAGTATGTAAGATGTTTTAATGATCAAGACTTGAAACACACGGGGCAAATGGAAGATTGGTATGCTTATGCAAAAACTGCAAGTCTTGACAGTTTTCTGGTGTTTTGAGATTGGGAGTGTTTCAGGCCTTTACCAATCGTGTCTTGTGTTGTATTATGTTTGTATATTAGTATAGAATCAGTTTCATGTCAACCCTCCAACAGATGTGCCAGTTCTCACCTTTTTGCAACCTTTCTTACTTTTGAAGTAAAGTGAAGGGACAAGGCTTGCCATGCTTGTACTTGCTCTCTTAGGGTTGGTATATACTTGTACAATTTTCTTTAGGCCTGTAATATTTGTATATGCAATGGAGACAGGTGCAATGCTCAAGAATTGGAAAGTGGCAAAAGTTGAGCTTTTTCAAAAGGGCAATGGTCACTTTATGTCATTTATGGAATTACAACTTGGGTAATGGCTATAGGGCTTGGATCAAAGCTTTATCAACTGAGTAAGAATTAAATTAAGGAGTAAGGAACAAGTTTGGAACCTGTAAAGCATGGATTAGGCATCATAGGTACTGATTGGAACTTTGTTCTTCATGAAATGGCTTGGATAAAAAGTGAGAAAATGCCAACTTCATCTCTTCGATTCTCCCTACTTAAAAATGATCTCGAGGAGTTCTTGGACATTTTGGAAATCTTGCAATGTGCTCTATAATTCATATTTGAAATGCATTTTGAGATACCTCTTGGAACTAGGTGAAAAATTGCCATGAAGTTGGGTCCAAAACCTGCCTAAATTAGGGCAAAATTTCACTAAGTTACTTAGTTCATGACCATGTATTCATAAATTTATATCTTGAGATCCAAGCATCTTTAGGGAAAAGTGTATGAAGCAAAGTTGTATATTTCATGGAGGTCTACAACTTTGATGTTGGGAACTTTCTTTGAATCATTATGCATCATGGTGATAAAATGGCCTAAAGTTGAGAAAAAATAAGAAATTTTCTATACTTAGAAAATTTCTAAGTTAGGAAAATTTTCAAATTTAAACCCTAATCTTCAAACTTGGATTTCTGGATGAACAAGTTTCACATTTTGACATGTTTTGATGAATTATGATCCTTGGCACTTGATTTTGACCAAAAAGTCAAAGTTTGACTTTTCAGTGTACAATTGACTTTTGATCAGTTGACTGCAAATTTCATTTGTCAATCCAATGAAATTGCAATGTTTTGAACCATGCCATTAGGTCAAGATGATGAAGTTGGATCCTTGAAATCATGCTTTAACTCAATTGGTCATTTGCTAGGTAAAAAACCAGAAATTTCCCTTCCTCAGTCAAAACCCTAATTTTTTACCATTTTGCCCTTTTGGTGATTTGATCAAATTTCTTGAGGAATTGTGATCCAAAATTGACCAAATGATACATATAAGCTTAAAATGTTGATGTGGATCAAGAATGATGAAGTTTGACTGTAAATTGGCCATAGTTGACTTTTTTCCCTAATACAGCTAATTTTTAGGTTAACTGCCCAATTGACTGACCAAAAATGTGGTTCAAGGCTTGAAATTTGTCATGAGTGATCTTAGGGATCCATAATGATGTTTGAAAGTCACATGGAGCATTGATAGTCCAAAAGTCCCTGTGTAACCTCAAACCCTAATTTTGGGTTATTAGTGCAAGATGAGATGTCTTGAGCTGACCAAACCCTAATCCAATCTTGAGTCAAAGAGATCTTGTGAGAAAAGTTTTGATAAATGAGAGGGCAAATTTTGGGGTACAACAGCTGCCCCTGTTCAATCTTCTTAAACCTGGGGAGTTAGATTGGCGAGTCTTACCATTCGTGACTCGTGAAGTGGTGAAAAACACAAGAAGGGGGGGTTGAATTGTTAAAACTGAAAACTAATACAATGAACAAGATATTTTTATCCTGGTTCGTTTGATCTCAAACTACTCCAGTCCACCCGTCAAGGTGATTTCGCCTCTCTCCAACGAGGTCTTAATCCACTATATTCAACTGAATATTACAGACTGCTTTAACAACTGCTAAAACCTTCTTGATCCAAACCACAACCCGGTTTGTCAAGGTAACACTTTCTTACAAAGAGATAAAACTAAGTGTGTGAATGTTTTCTACAAAACTGTATCACAACTGTGATGTATACACAAATTGAAGCTTAGAAACTAGATTGCTAAACAATGATAGAATATCAGAATGTGTGGTTTAGCAAAACTTGAGAGAAAGAAGATTATGATTAGCTTTTGTGCGTGTAGAGATTTGGAGAGCATTAGCCATTTTAATCTTCAAAGTCTTGTTTATATAGCACTGAGATGATGAACGTTGGATGCAATATTCTTGATTCAATGCTAATAACAAACTTTCCTTATCGAGCAGATCTTGTCTGGAATGAGGCCGTTGGAATTAATTTGCTTTCAATGAACAGTACTGTTGCTTACTTAATGCAAGTTCTGGCTTGGCTCATTCTGACTCTGCTTCGCTGCTGATGAACTGTTGTGTTTCTTTATCAGAGTGTTGAGCGCAGTCTTGTTCATCAGGATTCAGCATGTACGTGAATTGATCATCTGATTCTGACATTCTGATATGGCAACTTCTGATGCTGGTGTCAAGAACCAAATTCTGATGCTGATTAGATGTGATCTTGCTTATATCAATCAGAGTATCTGCAAGTCAGAACATAATAATTTTAGGCAGCAGATAGTTCATACATGAATATCATAAATAATATATCTTTTCACTTTGTTATCATCAAAACTTAAATGTAGGGTAGTAGATTCAAACTTTGTTCTAACAATCTCCCCCTTTTTGATGATGACAAAAACTAGATATTTTTTAAATGAAAATAACGTGAAAAGGTATCAGAGATATGTATCAGAGTAAGAAGTACAAAGGATAAGGAGTAAAAAGATATCAGAGTTAAGAGATATACTCCCCTTGAGTTTATTACTTCCCTTTGATTTCAAGTGTTCTTCAGGATCAGATCTTTTTACCTTTCTTTGAACGTCAGAGTATCAGAGTCTTTGACTATCAGAAGCTTTATGTTAAAGCAGAGCTTCAGAGCTTTTCTTGTCAGAGCTTTGCTTTGGATCAGAGTATCAGAGCGGATCAGAGCTTCATAGTGATCAGAGCTTCTAGTCTTCAGAGTGTCCAGGAGCTTCCTTGTACCTGTAGACTTTAAGCAAAACAGAAAAACATTCTCAAGTAATAGAGTTAGAATGTTTGAGAATTTCTGTCTAGTTAGCCGTTATTGATTAAAATATCATTCTTGTTCTCCCCCTTTTTGTCAGCAATCAAAAAGTGTAGGTGATGTGCTAAAACAGTTAAGATCAGAAAAACTAATCATATTAAGAGAGTTCAGAATCAAAACATGAAAATAGTACAAAACACATTCAGGTAGTACATCAGAAAATCAAGGAAAACATGAAAAAGGACATGAATGAAAAAAGACTAAGGTTGAGGAGGCAAGCGTGTGAACAGGTTCTCCAGCATGGCTTGGATCTTTTCAGCAGTCTCATTCTGCTTGTGCACCATGCTGACAACAGTGTCAATCTTGCTATCCTGCACA